CCCACGTCAACCTCGTTCATTCCAATGTGAACTCGTGAAACCGCACTATTGTACCATCGGATACGGGCAAGTTTCTCGCCCGTGTTGCGGTCATCAAATGCGAGCAAGGCCAATGATACTTGTGTGGCCTCTCACATTGGCACCACCAGTTTTTGATGCGCACCCCGTATCTGATTTCACCTTCTTGTAAACAACGACAACCCTATTTCCTTGCTGGTCACCTTCTTGTAGATTAATTTTTCTTGCGACGTCAACCCATCCTCATCCAACTCTTCCTCCGGACCCTCATCATTCGAACCATACCGACACATACGGTTATAAGGGACGGTACGGTCCATGTCTTGTTGCCACACAATGACATCCAAGTTACCAATGGCATTTTAATGAATCTGTTCATTCTCCGGGTAAGCATCCTCTTGAGAAACAATAGCATCATCATCAACATGACCACTAGCATCTTCTTGAACAAGAGGAATAGCATCATCTCGGATTACTATGGCGCTAGCATTGATATGATCTTTATTGGGTTGGCTACTTGGTGGTTGGCTAGAATAATTGGGGAGATACACCTCGGCACTACCATCATGTATTGGGGAGGATACACTACGGTTCAAATCAATTTTCAAGGGAGGAAGATCAACCTTTGTGGCAAATATCTCAAGAGACTTGTCTTGTGATGCGTCTACTTTGTCCTTGTACACATTCCAATGCAATTGGGAGGTGATGGGCATACTCTTTAATCGGGACTTTACTCCCAATCCAACGTCATACCTCCCAATAAGATCAACCTCGGCATTTGGTCATTCCAATGTAAGACGCTTCTCACTTTCACTGCAAGATCATCAAAGCTTGGACTTGTGTCAAAAACCATAGCCTCTTCCCGTTCATCGTCTTTTCCATTCATAAATGTTGTCTTGTCCAAATAATGAACATTTACGAGCTTATGCGTCTAAGAACAATGGAAACAGTAAAGTCATCCATATATGTCATCCAACCAATTCAAATGGAGCAATAACATAATTTATGTACACATTAGACAAATAACTTCTATTCATAGTTAGTTTCACCTTAACCTTAACCATAACCCTAACCATAACTATAATCCTAACCCTAACACTCACCCCTAACATTACCACTATAACCCCTAACCCTAGGCAAGCACAAATATAGCCATAAATGCATCATAAATGTGCCATAAATGCACACGACAAGATCAACACCTAGGGTTTGCAATAAATTGAGCAAATGCACACAAAACCAAGATTTCAACCAATCAAAATGAGGGAAAATGAGAGAGGTACCTTGGGTGATGAAAATGCTTCAGATCCACTAGTAAAATCTCAAGCAAATAGAGTTGATCTAGGGGGTGTTTGGGTGAGGGAGAGAGAGAGGAGAGGAGCTCACCACGGGGAAGAAGAAGAATGGGGAAGAAGAGTGTTGGTGGGGCCCACACAACAACTCCTCCCAACCTTATCCACCCTAGGATCCTACCGCTAGGGCCCTTGGCGGCAGGTGTTAGTAGCCTACCGCCAGGGTCTATGGCGGTAGGGTCCTTTTCCACATCAGCTGCAGCTAACGGTCGTCAGGCGCCGTCCTGTCACCTACCGCCACATCTTAAAGGGTCAGATCTCATCTTTTTCCAAAAAGGGTCAGATCTTGAAATAACACCATAAAAGGGTCAAACAACGAAATTCTACCGTGTTTGTGATGCCTGAGCACAACTTGAAAAGTAGAAGTTTTGTGCGTGTCAGGCATGGCTTTTTTTTAGCCGAGGCATTGGATTGTTTGCTTGAAGAAAGCTTACAGTATAAAGAATTCGTTTGGAAGCTGGCCCAGGGGAAACTAGCAAATTAAAGTACTCTATACCTCCGTCCGGTTTACTTGTCGTCCTCATAATTTGAGTTATAGTTTGACCATAAGTTTGTCTAATAAAAAATAAATTATATGTGGAAAGAATAATATCATGGAAAGCTATTCACTCCATCCCGTAATATAAAAGCGTTTTTGACACTACACTAGTAGAAAAACACTTTTATATTATAAGACAAAGGGAGTATATCCAAATAAGAATCCAACAATATTTTTTTAATAAAATGCATTAACATTTTGCTAGTTAAGTATATGATCAAACTGCCAGGCTAATCGGGGTGCCTGGACCATCTGTAGGCTACTATTTTCGTCTGGGATTATTGGGCTCGAAGACCACTTCTTTTGAATCAAAGCACATAGTAATTTGTTCATATTAATATTTCCATTTTATTTTCAATGCACTCTCTCACATACCAGCTCTCACACGCAGTCAATGAAAAAATATGCATGCAACGTATTTATTATTCAACTATGGGACTAGCAACGATGCCTCACACTAAAAAGAATGAAATGGTTGCATACATGTAGGTTTTCAAAGTAAGGCCTTATAAAAATGAACATGCTTGTGCTGCTCTTAGGCTTAATAAACCCAGACGGAGGGAGTAATCAAGATTTTGATAAGCTAGCTTCTATTCGTGATCCCATTTCTTACATGATACCATGATACCAATTTGCAAAACTCAAATTAAACATGTCAAAAAATACTGAAAAAATAAATCATGTTCACAACACATATGTTGACAAGCCCTAAAAAATTCAAATCAAAATTTAAAAGACACAAAGAGAAACAAAAAATACAAATAAAGATGTGAATATTGTCATTCTTGCTTTTATCTTCTTTTGACACTATTCATGATAAATTTCTCTTTCTTTTCCCCTTCTCTATTTTGAATTTTGATCTGATTTTTTTAGCGATTATCGACATATGTGTTGTGAACATCCATGTTTTTCTTTCAGAAATATTTTACATGTTTGAATTTGATTTTTGCAAGTTGGCATTATGGTATCATGTAAGGACAGGTATCACCGGATATTTTCCCGAGAGTCAAACCGACAGGCTACATGTCAGGCGTGAAGGCATCATGACGAACCAAATAGCGTCCAGGCACATTACTGAAAAAGGTTTTCGCCCCGCTTTATATATAAAGCAATGACCAACAACATTTCGGAACAGACGCACTCCACCACAACACAAGCACACACCCAAGGCGGGATACATAGGTGTTGAGCGCAGCAACACGACCCCTAATACTATAAGAGCAACCGGGGCTCCACCAGTGAAGACGCCACCACGAAGATATGAAGCCACATACGACGAACCGTGGGCTCCAAAATGGTGCCTTCGCGAAGGTAACGACACTGGAGCGCCACCATCGCCCGATCCGAGAATCAAAGTTTTCCTAGGAGCCACACGACAGACAATGAAAGCCGCGAGAACGCCTTCTAGAAGGGAACGAGCTACGCCGCCGCCGGTTCTCTCGAAGATAGAGCAGGTTTTCACCCCGGCCAACACTTACCGCCATCGAATGCCGCACCCCGACTACTACGCGGCCCACACGACCATGGCCACCGGGCAGCACCAAGCGACAGGCTCTGCCCATGAGCACAACACAACCACCACCAGGGTCGCTGCCCCGGCATCCAAGACCTAGATACCACCTCACCCAACACCCGCCGCTACCCCCACCGAAGAGACAATCGGATCTGGGGCAAACAAGCCCCCATCGATTCGTCATGCAGCACCAGGTGCGAGACGAGCATGGTCCTGCTGCCGGGCGTGAGACGAGCTCGATCCTGCAGCTTGAGCACGAGACTAGCGATGGGCCGCGGTAGGGAGAGGGTCATCCCTTCAACGGAAATAGCACCCGGGCGACGAGAAGATAGATCAAGGGCCGACACAAAGCCACCTACGGACGAGCCGACACTGGTACATGCCAGCCGTCGCCGCAGCCGACTTGCCAAGCCGCCGTGGAGCCATCCATGACCAGAGCAGCAGCCGCCCCAGGCCACTGCCCGACCCGCATCGCCCGGGCGAGCTCCAGGCGTCGAAGCCGTCAGGCACGAACCCACGCCTCCAGCTGTCACCAAGCACCAACCCTCAAGCATCACCCCAACGTCGGTAGGACGGAAAGGCACCATCTTGAGCTGGAGACACCCGACCTCCCTCGATCTAGCCCGCCGTGGGCCACTGGCAGCACCGCCAGCTACTAGGGAGGCCGGATCCAATGCCCACCCAGCCAGATCGAGGGGGGGAGGGAGGGCAGAAGCCGAGGAGTCAAAGACGACGGGAGGAGGGACCCACCGCCCACCACCCGAGGCCTGACGCCGTGCGCGCTTCGCCGCCGAACGCCGAAGCCCAGCCGGGCCACCACTCACCGAGGCCCGCAGCCACGCGCCCGACCGCACGCACTCCAGGACACCGCCAGCCGCCACCCAAATCCGCCCCCCGCAAAAGCAGGGGAGCCGCGCGAAGACCTCCCGCCGCTGCCGTGGGCTTCGCCCATCGGCGCCCTTCGGCGGCGACGAGAGGAGGG